CAACAGAAGAAAGGAGAAAAGGAGGTTTTTATGGTTTAAACTCGCTCGAATCGTGTGCGGCGGTATTTTAGAGCTAGCGTTTACTCGGAGCTTGAAAATTAACACGTAGTCGACGACAATTTTTTTTTACTATTTTCGGAGGTTTCTTGATAACTTCTCAGATGTTTTATTGTGTATACTCCTTCGTTGCCTTAGTTGTTATCATTTCGAGATTTTCAGGATCAAACTGATGCGGTTGCCAGCCATACCCAAAAGGGAGTAGAGTTTCTCGAAAGGATCGGGGCTTTTGCTAAAGAGAGAGCTTTGATAGAAGAGGAATACGCCGCAAAGTTAAGGTACCATCAAAATAAGGCGGCGGGTACACATCTTGTTAGTTCAGTATAGTATTCTAGAAATCTTGCAAAAAAATCTCTTGGGAGAAAAAAGGAAGATGAAGAAGCTGCCAAAAACTTCACATACGTAAGGTCATTCGTCAATCTGCTTCGAGAGCTGGAATCTTTGGCTGGCCAGCATGAGGTGCGCTTACATTTGAATTATAATTTTTGAATTAAGTCGTTTTCTATAGGTGGTTGGCGAGAAAATTCGCAAAGAAGTGATACCATTCGTTGTGACAAGATCCAATGTACATCGCGCGCAAAGAAAGCAATGTCTTGCCGATCTTCAGGCAATACATGCAAATTTAGCTGGTGCCATGGAACATCTTGGTAAAGCCCAAAAGCATTACAGGTGTGTCATTTGCTGTTGGTTGTATACTGCGGTTAATGTTTTTTTCGTTTCAGTAAATCTTTCAAAGAGGCGGAAGCTGCTTATCTGAAGTACGCCAAAGCCGACAAGAACATGGAAATATCCCGGTTGGATCTGGATAAAGCCAAGAACAATGCACAGGTCTCAATAGCATGCTCGTTAAAATGCGCAGTCTGTGAATCACGGAAGTTCCCATGAGTACACCATTTCGCATACCTCTTTCAAGCATTCGCTTCATATTTACGAACGTATCATAGGCAACATGGACTGAGTTGAGGTGCTATCCATAGAAATTCCCCGGACTTGCTATTCACGATCACCAACGTCAAAAAGCGCTCCACAAAAGCTCCCTTTACAGATGCGAAGCCAGATCAGTGAAGAAGCGAAACAGGCTTATGCACATGCTTTACAAGGCGCTAATGAAGCTCAAAATGCTCACTATTCACAGCTTCTACCCGATGCACTGGCTCGCATGAGGGTGAGATGATGCTTTCCAATCCACGTTATAGTTCGGTTCCAGCTAATGGTGGTAATGCCAGCATAGTAGAGTTTTACGGAATGTTCGTTGCAGACCATTGATCTTGAGCGTATCAACGATACGAAAACAGCGATGGAGCTGTGCATCGCTTCGGAAGCAGACGTTCGCCCTATCATAGGCAAGTGTATGGTTGTTATGTTTGGGTACCTGGCATTTTTAGTTTGTAGTAAATCGAAGCAACATAAACGCTTATATGTGTTGCATCATAAGTATACTTTATAATTACCGTTATGGCACTGCGAGGATGTGCAGTTAATAGTCTTTTTTTT